GATCAAGAGAACAAAAACAAAGTCGCATTCCCATAATGAAGGTTCGTTGGAACGCGAAACGAGGGCCTGAGTTTACCTGGGAACTTGAAGATCAAATGAAGCAAAAGTATCCACATATTTTCCCAAACCCTTGAAGTTCCCAGCCGAATTTAAATTTCGGGACGAAATTCCCTCTAACGGGGAATGATGTGACAATCGTCAATCTTGAGTCAAGTCAAGTCATCAAGTCAAGCCGGTCAACTCGATTAAACCTGTGTATTAGGGTTTGTGTTATGTTCATACTGTATAACTTGCTATATTAATGAGAAAACATCACTTGAGAAAAGTCTTGTGTTAAAAATTTCCTAAGCCCTAGTGCTAATCAATGAACTAAACTGATAAAAATCATGTTGCACACTCATTGGGAGTGTGTGGGATCCTTAACCATGACTTAACGGGGCTCAAGAAACTTGCTTAGCGGAGCCAAACACTCACAAATGCCACACTTGAAATCTCTCTCAAATATCTCTTTGTATGAGAAATCTCTCCAAGAATGTAAATCTCTCCCAAATCTCTCCAAGTATGTGAAATCCTCTAAATATCTCTCTGTATGAGAAATCTCTCCAAGAATGTCAAATCTCTCCCAAATCTCTCCAAGTATGTGAAATCTCTCTCAAATATCTCTTTGTATGAGAAATCTCTCCAAGAATGTCAAATCTCTCCAAATCTCTCCAAGTATGTGAAATCTCTCTCAAATATCTCTTTGTATGAGAAATCTCTCCAAGAATGTCAAATCTCTCCCAAATCTCTCCAAGTATGTGAAATCTCTCTCAAATACCTCTCTATATGAGAAATCTCTCCAAGAATGTCAAATCTCTCCCAAATCTCTCCAAGTATGTAAAATCTCTCCCAAATCTCTCTCCAAAGTTTCCCGTAACTTTTTTGAATCATTCGGGTCATTCCGACGCTTAACCGTGTCAAAAACGGCTTAAAACGGGGTAAAAACGAGAAAAATAGACATTAGGAACCGAAACCTCTCGAGAAGAGAGAAGCTTCTTAGGACCCGAAGGTCCTCTTAGGGACTGAGAGCAAGGAGGAGCCGAACCCTCCTGAACCGAACCGAACCTCGCCCTGGAAGAACCGAAACCGAACCCTGCTTAAGAGGAACCGAACCCGAACCCCGCTTAAGAGGAACCGAACCTCGCCCTGAAGAACCGAACCCGAAGGTACTGTTCACCACTGTTCATTCGGCACCTTTCGGTCGGACGGCGCCTCTTATCTCCGGACCGAACCCCCTCTCGCCTTCGCCTCTCGCTTCCTCGCCCCTTTCGCTTCCCTCTGTTCGTTTCGTTTCCGGCTACAGCCCCCAGCAAGGACCGAACCTCGGCCTAGGGACCGAGAGGTCTCGCTGGGAATGCCTTTCTTCCCGGTTTTCGCGTAGTTTTGCATTTAAGGCCCGTTTTTAATTATTTTAACGCGGATTGTCACCCAAAATCATATTTTAACATAATAAACTCTAAATATTCATAATTTAAACATATTTTTATGAAAATCATTATCTAAATAATAAAGATCTAATGGGGAATTTATTTAAGGTGGAGTGTTGACTTTGCCTTAACTTATGACACAAGCAACACCCACACACCCACTCTATGACCAGCCATACCTCCCCACCTTACCTATGTCACTTCAATGTCCCTTACACTCAAATTTCACTCACTCCCACGTTTTTTTGAGCTGGAACAAACAACCACACTCCTCATTTTCTCTCATTTCTCTCATTCCACTAAGTAACAAACACCACTTTTCTCTCAAACTTTTTCTACACAAATTTTCGAGATTCAAGGCTGATTTCAAGTGTTCTTCCACTCTTAGTAAGTAAAAATTCATCCTCCCTATTATTATTTCACTTCCTTCTACTCAAATCTTTGATTGCTTACAAACTCCATAACTATAATGTTAGATTCTCGAAAACCTTCAAGGCATCTCCAAGTGTTCTTGAATTAAACACTTCCATTCTTCAACAATCATCTACTGAAATCACTTAAGGTGAGTTCATACCCCTACATTTTCATGTTTTCTCAATTTTCAGGGGGGGGGGAATACAAGTTAAAACATCAAGAACATAACTAAATATTTCTAACAGCCTTCATCAGAAAAGTTCAACTCCATTCACGGACTGTTTTGGGCATCTTAAACATTTTTGTTTTCAAAACTGTACAAGGTGCAAATAGTTCAAGTTTGTAGCTTTAAAATGACTACTTGCACATCTCCATACGATTTTTCTACAATTTATGGTGATTTTTACAAAACTGCCTATCATTTCAAACAACAATCCGGACCAGTCTGTGATTATGGACTTTTTCACCCAAGTTGGAGGTCATTAAAATCGTGAAAAATTATGAGTAAACTAGACACATTTTGTGAACTCTCAGAATTTACGGATCTAGTTTTCGACTTCGTATGATTTTTCTATGATTTTTCCAAAACAGGGCAGAATGGCTAAAGTTAGCCAACAGCATGTAAATATCATAACACTTTGTATTATGTTGAGCAAAGTGTATAATCATAAGTTCTAATATTTGAATGTGTTTCCTTGTTAGTTTATCATTATGAACTGAAACTAAGTCATTCATATTAAATATTATTCATTCATTTTAGAACACGTATATGTAACTATAAAAAGTATAGTTTGATAATTCACAACACTAATACATTTCCATAAACGAATTCATACATATTACATACATTTTAGATAAACTATAATAGGTATAGTTTATGATACATCACTCAACACACTCGTACAAAAGGGTACATTCATACAAGAAAGATTTATATCCACACACATTCCA